CTTTTGTAAAAGAAAGGGCAATAAGCCTTGATATAGCTTTAGAAATAGCTTTAGCTTATCATTATCTTTATAGTCACTGAATATACATCCCTGTACGTGCTCTGTGCAATGTATATATATAATTTGGAAAACAATAAAGTTAGGCATAAGCCCGTTAAAAAAAAAAAAAAAAAAAAAAAAAATTCAGAGCCATATACTATATTATACTATATATTATTTGTTATATTATACTTGTATTACTGTATATTATAATTCAAAGCTATTTAATATATCAATTACAAATTTGCCACTTTATGTTACTATTTATCAATTTTCAAAATGTCAAAAAAGTGTTCAATTTCAGCTTTACTTAACAAAAGTTTAAGAAAAAATATCAAAAAAGTAAAAATCACTTGCAACTGTAGTAAATGTAATGGATTACTTGTTGACCTACAAACAGGATTTTCACATAGATATTGAAAAACAAAAGGCAAACATTTGACAAATAAAGAATTCATATTTTAATATAAATTAAAAAATATTTCATCAAGTCGAATTATATCATTAAGTAACAATCAACAAAATTCAAGATTAAATGATGCAAGTTCTAAAAATGTTGAATCTAAAGTTGATACTGATGAAGAAATAGATAATATATTAAAAGATTATTTGATACTAAAATATGAATTTTCATCAAATTCTAGCAAATTTTCAGATAGTTGTTTTATATAGATTTTGTTATAGATTATAAACTATAGAATTCAATTTAATTTATCAAATAGTGCAATAAATTCATTGTTAAATTTTATAAAATTGGTGCTAATTGAAATCGGTAGTTAAGAATTTGAGCTCTTTTGTGAGTCTTTATATATTGCCAATATTAAACTTGTATTATCAAACCAGTTCATTAGTTTTGTGATATATTAAATATACCACAAATTGTACAGACAGAATAATGTTTTTGGTTTTTAAAAAAACAATCAGTTATTGGTCATAAAGTATATTCATATTGAATTTCCAAATTCAGCAATAAAACAAAGAAAAATTTGTGATTCTTTACTGTCTATACAATTAGAATTATTAAATAGAAATGTAATTAATCAGTATAATTTAGTTTTTTCATATTCTATTATTTAGTATTAATTGTCATAAATATATCAAAATTTGAATTATGAATTTAATCTTTAGCATTAAGTAGATTGATCAAGCATTGATAAACTTCTATGTGATATTTATAATAGTGATATTTGAAAAATATTTAAAGATAAAAACTTAAAATTATTTTTTAGCAAAAAGATAGCTAATTCATATTTGAGATTGGTATTAAATATTGACTAGTTTCAATCATTTGATAATAAAACACATAGTACTGGAGTTATATATGTGGTATTGCAAATTTGCCACATGAAATATGATTTAAACATAAAAATAAGATGATTCTTGACATATTACCAGGTTTTAGTAAACCAAATTTACACTCAATAAACTATTACCTTTCTTCAATTGTTAACGAATTGATGTAACTATCATAAGAAATAAAGCTCAATTCAACTGCTAAAAATAAAAAGAAAAAAATAATTTGAATGGCCTTAATTTTAATTTTGTATTATATTCCTATTACATAAAAAGTGTATGGATAGATTTCAGCATTAGTGCCATGTTATTGTTGCAAGAAGAATATCAATTATGAAAATAATTGTTATAATTTTAGTGGTATGAAGGATATAAACAAATAATTTATATCAAGAGATTTGACAATATATAAATAAGATTTTATCAAATGGAGATGCTATAACTCAAATGTAGCATAAAAATGTTTTATTAGTAAGAATGCTGTTAGATAGTCTAAATTTCTTTACCTACCTTATTTCGATTCAATTTGACATTTAGTTATTGATTCTATGCACTGTTTTTTTTTAGGTATTGATAAATGGCTTATTAAATAAATATGGGTCGAAGAAGGGATATTGATAAATAATGCATTGAATAAAATATAATCAATGATGGAAAATTTTCAAGTATCATCAGATATTGACTTAATTCTGAGAAAAGTAAATAGTGGTGAAAAATTTTTAAACTTTATTGCTGATTAATAGAGAAAAATTTTCACAATATATAAAATTATAATTCTACGAAAACATCTTTCAGATGTGGATTACCAAATTTTAACAAATTTTATCAAGATTTGTCAAATCTTAGTATACTGAATTTTAAGACAAAATTCATTAAATGAAGCTTATGAAAGATTAATCGTAATAATTAAATTAATAAAACAAAAATATAAGAAAAAAAATTACTTTGATTCTTTATCTTTTATTATATTTACATAAATGTATATGTGATTATGGGCCATTGTATATATTTTGATGTTTTTCATTTGAGAGAATAAATGATATATTAGATAGATTTTTTAACAAATTTAATATTAAAAAATAATATTCTAATGAATTTTTAATTTAGGTTCATTGCCTAATAGTTACCAAAATGTTAAACCAGAATTAATGTGAAGATTGATAAATAATTGTTGAATTATTAATTTAATTATGTCCTATTCTAATAATCAGAAGCTTGAAATTTTAAATAATCGATCAAATATTGATTCAATTTCTAAACTAGATCAGTTTTCAGCTGACAAGTTATATCAATTTTTAAACAACATAAATAATATTTATAAAACAATAATTAATGGATCCAAATATTTTTTGAGTAAACTCTCGCATTCAAAAAAATCAAATTTAGAGGTATTTATCGAAATATTAGATTTATTAGTCAAATTTTATAAGGCATCTTATAAAACTATAGACTTTCAGAGGCCATTTATGAAAGATAATAAAAATTTGATAATTATTTAGAATAGAGTAGATCAATATGGTAGATGTCAAATTGGAAGTGAAATAGTTAATTTTGTTATGTCCTTATGAAATATTAAGGGCTCATTTATATTAGCTAGATTTGTAAATCATGATTAAAGTATCGATTTATATCTAGGACAAATTCAATTCTTCTTTACACATTCAGTAAACTTTTCGAATAATGTTATTAAATATCGATTGACCTTTATTCAGTGGTACAAACTAGTTAATTTAGTAGAAAATAGATTTTATTTCAGATCTGAAAATAATCGAATGTTGAATTGTGAAATAGTAAATTTTATCTTGTTAGATGTGAATGAATAATTTCTATTTATAATATTTTTAATTGATTTGTTTTATTTAGATATAGAATCTCAAATTGATAAGACTTTCGCAAATATTTAGCTGTAATTCCTATAAATCATAAATATAATATATAATTAAAAATTTGGCAAATGTACAAATTTTGATAAATGTCTGATAATTTTTTGAAAAAAATTTTAATGAAATATATAGAAAGCTTATATTCTAAAATTGAATATTTACTTATTTGGCAAATTACAATATATAAGAAATTTTATTAAAAAGAGTGATGCTTTTTGATAATTTATCTTATTTATCTAAATTAAAATTTTAAATTCAAGTATATAATGGTTCAATGGTTTATATCTCAGGTAAACTACAATATTATATATATCTTATGAAAGATTGTTAATTACATTTTCATATATTTTCACAGAAGTATGGGATAAAGATCTGAGCAATTGTCCATCTGCAAAAAAAATTTATAAAATTCTCACAGAATATAAAATAATAAAAAATTTTATCAAAATTATTTGTATCTAATAAAGTATAAGAAAACTATTTATAAGAATGATTTTATTCTTTATAAAAAATCATTTGATAAAGGTAAAATATATTGTTTTTACATTCTTTTTTTATTTTCATATTTATTAATATCAAATATATTTTCATATAGACATTCAACAATATAATTTGATATTTTCTTGATAAAATATGTGAATAATTTGATTAAGCTTAATTTTATAGACTAAAATATTTCACAATATGATAACACTATTAAAAGGTATTAAGGATTTTAAATTTCTCAAAATTTAAATACAATTGTTTTCATTTAATAAAAATTAAAGTAATAATAACATTATTATTACTATTGAAATTTAAAGTAAAATTAATATTTTGATAATAAAACATTTTAAGAAGTAATTAAGTTTGTCTGATTACATATAAACTCTTAATTAATCAAAATATCTTAATATTATATATAATGTACTTATATGGTCTCATTTAAACTCTCGTAACATTCCGTAAAAAAAAAAAAAAGCCTCCTACGTTACACCTGGAGTTTCGACTTAAAGAAATATATCGATGGATAGAAATAATTTACATACTATATATATATAATGGATGCAATAATGTACAGTAAATGGTTCAAAGGGTTTAATAAATTTTTGCAAAATAAAAGTAATGAATTCATTAATAATAGAATTATTCATACTTTTTTTTTTTTTTTTGCGTGTTACTCAAACTTTTTTATTTAAGTTTTTCCAAATTAAACAAAACACTGTTTTTACTAGCTAACGTATTTGGTGTTATCTTGGTTTTACGAGCTCATTGAAAATGGATGGAGCCAATGGTGAGTAATCACAAAATTTGAATACTTTCTTTCTATTTAAAAAAAAAAAACGATTTCAAAAGTTCTTGGATTTAAAGAGCAGGCGCAACAGTCGTTCACGTGATCAATATTTCTGAAGTTCAAGTACGAATCTTTACACGTGTTGCACATGATCCATATTTCTGAAGTTCAAGTACGTATCTCGAAAATAGTCTATTATAATGCATCACTGTATTACCTTGCATAATACATTATGTCGAAGAATAAACACCTGTATCGTAAAAACTAATTAACATACCAAACTCTTGAATCTGTTATTAACAAGGCAATTTGATCCTATCAAAAGTTAATTTCTACGAAAGCCTTTTTATAACCCATTTTGTAAATTCTTTATTCCTCCTTTCGCCCAAATGAGTTCCGATGAGCTGGAGTTCTATAGACAACTCGAAGAAAGGGTTCAAGAAAAAATTGACCTTTTCAAAAAAAAGTATCCAGAGGGTTTTCATTGTATGCCAAGAGGCACTCAAATTTTAAACAATAAGCGCTTCGATGAGTGGGGAAGCTATATTGTGAAGGCTCCACCGCCTTCTCAGTATGTTCCCCTACAACAATCTAGAAGCGCACCACCACAGGTTGCCCCACTGAGTACCACGAGGCTGCCTCCAGTACCCACCCAATCTCGACAACAGCCAGCAACGACTTCAGTACAAGCCGACCAGAACACAACGGCTGGAGCCCTTCGTTCAACTGGAAACAAGCCTTTTGTTGATTCGTATCTGTCATTTTTAGAAACGTACGTATTTACAAAATTTCTGACCAAGGAATATTTCTAAACGCCCAGTGGAGGAAGCGTAACATAGCATAAGCCTTCCATTAATGCACTTTGCAAATTAAAAATTTGAAAGTGACTATCAAGTGATGATGGAAATCAAGAGATTCACTTATCTAACGATTATTATTATTCTTTTTTTTTTTTTAAAAAAAAAAAAAAAAATTACTTAGGATAAATGATCAGTTCAGTTCTCTTTTCATGCTTGATTTGGGGATGAGTAATCGCGGAAATATGGAGTTCTTTTTCGCATGCAGTCAGTAATATATTAAGATATCATCTTCAAAAATCCTATTAATCAATAGGCGAACTGAAAACGAAGACCCTGATCCATCACAAAGAGAACGTGAGGAGGAAGGGCGACGAGCAATTTTCAATGGGCGATCCACTAGTGTAACAATAAGGTATCATTTCAGAATTATATATGCGTTACGTAACTTTAGAATTTCTTTTAACAAATTATACCTTCAACTATGTCTAAATCCAGCCCCGAGAATTCGAGGACGACTGAAAAAAAACTTTCCGAGAACAAGTATTCAGCAAAACCGGCTGGGAAGAAACCATCCGCAAAGAAGCCAGCAGTTAAAACTACCTTTGATACAAATGCGACTAAAAATAATAATCATGCCGCCGGGAAAATCACAAATGGTTCATCAAAGACGAACAATAATAATGCGGCGCCAAAGATCAATGGTAATGGAACTTCGTATGCTGGTCAAAATGGTATCTCTTCAAAACTGAGCAACAATGGTTCCTCCAAGCTGATCAATAATGGTAGCTCTTTAATACTGGTTAATAATGATATGCCAAAACCAATTATCAATAGCTTATCGTCTAATAAAGTGATTAATAATGATTTCGCAACGGCAGGTACCAAAACGGCGATCAATGAATCTATAACGACGAAATCCTACGGTAAAGATTTAACATCCATAGTATCCATTAACTCGATTAAAAAACCGAAAAATTTGGAAGAGATCAACGCTTTCTTAAAGGTGATTTATTACCTATTCAAAGGCGCGTTCCGGAATATAATGAATTTGAATGTTTTTATACCATTAATGTTAATTCATTAGTAAATTCCAAATTTTCATTTCCTCTAGAATTATTTTGCGACAAGGAAAGAGAAGAAACAATTTGTCATGCCAATAGAGGAGAATGTTACCATACGGAAAAGGAATAAGGGAAAGGAAGTCGCCACCAAACGACCCGCTCAAAAACGACCAGTTTTAAAAGCCGATCGATCAACGAAGAGAGTTAAAAAATCGAAGAGTATCGATCCCGAGATTACCGATGATCTTGATGATGGCGAATCGACTCTGCCGAATCCTGAAATATCAGTTAGAAAGCCGTTTGTTGTAAAGCTTAAAATACCACGACCTCCTGAGGAGTCAGAGTGCACTCAAGAATCTTTACGACAGCAAAAATTCAGTTCATTACGTATCAATGGTCAGAACAGCCCTTCGAGAGATAGGAAAGATGGCATAATTAGATCAGTAAGGAATGAGAATAAAAGTAATTTTGGAGGGAATACCGCAGGTAAAAATCCTAAAAGTTCTCGGAAGAGCAAAGTCGTCGAAAGCCTAGAGGAAAACACTCGAGATAGTGAACCTCATGTCTCGCGAAATGTTAAACGTAGAATTGATGACGATTCGTCGGATTCCACCTCAAAGCGATCAAAAAAAAGGTGTGTCCCAATTAACGCACAGAGTATCGATGCCCCAATTAAAAGCGAAGAATCTTCTACAATTTCAATCTCTAAAAAAGAAGAGTCCTCTATAATTCCAGTCCGTATTAAGAAGGAAGAATCCCCTATAACCATCACAAATGCTGATCGAAATTCTATCGGCATGCAAACTCAATTAGTTAAGACTATCGAGATGGCCATCCAGACAAATTCCACGGAGATGGTTTCAATCAGTGTTCAAACTGATTCAGAACCTTCATCGACATCCAACGATAATTATTCTGATTCACAACCTTCTTCCACGATTAATGATGAATCTGCTAAATTTCACCATGTTTTGTACAATCATAAAACGCAACAGGCAACAAACTATAAGCATCGAAGTGAGTCTGAAAAAGTTCCGCTGAATAGAATTTCCGACTACATTGAAGCCTACCTACTTTATGCAGACGCTTTTTATAATCAGTATGAGGCATACACATTTGGTCGTTCCTACAGCAATCTGCTTAACCCTCGAAAGTTTTTCACTGCTGTTTACGGTATGGACATAATCAAGGACGAATCCGAATTAATCGGTGTATTAAAATACATTCATGCTGTTATCTCAAATATTTTTTGCAAGAATGATCGTGATCAATGCCTTAAAAAAGAGAGCGAATATCTCAATGAATACATAGATAAGATAAGAAATGGATCCCCCGGGGAGGTCGAAGAAGCGTTGAAAAAATATAATGGGTTAGTCATCCTAATTTTCTTCACAATAAATGTTGCGCGTCTTTTTTATTAAGATCCGTGACAATCTTCATTTCTAGTTATCTTGATCAGATGAAAAAATCACTAAAGCAATGCTCAGATAATCTCAACGAGGCCTATGAGAACCTAAAAACAGCGAAGAGGTTACTTGGGGATAGTATAATTGACATTAATGATAGCCTTAAAAATGTCATGATCTTTGCACGTAAAAGGGTGGACAAATGGAGACAGGATAAAGGAATTACCTTTGATGCCTTGGGTTCCACATAATTGTCACGTAGAAGGTCGCGCCATCGATTAAACCTCTGAAAATGTGAGTTTTCATCACGGAAATCCATGGTGTTCTTTTGTGTCTTCATTGCTAGAGTATATTCTTTTTTTTAAAAAAAAGGTAATAAAACATACTATAGGGAAAAGAATCTATTCGGCGTTAGTTATTCATGTAAATATATTTTGCTTCACCGTTACTTCTTCTATGTACATTCACGTATGACGCGACTAATTCTTTTTCTATACTTTTCTATATTTATTATTAAATTTTAGTTTTAAATATAATTAATTAATGTTTAATCTTTAAAGAAATCATTCAGGCCAAATTGGCGAGCAATAAAAAAAATTAATCGCAGTCTAGTGATAACCCAGTCTAGCCTTTTAAAGTCAAAACATGAGGTACTGTAGTAAAGATGCAAGAAAAATCGCGTTGTCATTTAAAACACTGCGCGGAAAGACCTTCCGTTTATCACAAATAAGCTGCGCGAATTGCTAAATTATTTACAGTATATATTTACAAGTTATTGTGAAAAAAAAAAAATTTAAATATTTATCGCTCTAAAGTTATACTGTATATCATAAGTTTAGTTAACCGTGTCTCATTGCCAAATTCAATCGGATTTTGGGTTAACCCATAAAGAGGAAAGTCGAAATAGCAATTAAGATGATTTCGTAGCATATACGGTATCGTAGTATAATAAAAAAAGTTTGAAAGTATTAAAAATATTAATTAATTTTTGATATTCTTTTTTATATCCCTTTTTAAATATTTAGTATATTAAATATAATTATTAATTCTTGATTATTAATTATTAATTGATTATTAATCTTAATCATTTAATCAATTAATAATTATTTTAATCAAGATATCAATCAATTAATAATCATTTTAATCAAGATATTAATCTATTAATTTTTATATAAATAAAAAAAATTTTTTAAAATCTTTTTTATTTTTTTTTTTTATAAAATAAATATAACTTTTTTCTTTACCTTTTAACTTATATTCTTTATCACAAAAGTCTTATAATTTCTATTATATATAACATTATTTTACAATTATCTAATAATATATCAGATCAATTTTATAATTATTTTTCAAATAATTCTTATATTAAAAAAAAATTTTTTTTTTAATATATAAAATATATCAAAGGTTAAACAAATTCTTAATAATATTTAAATCATGTATACTTCTATTTTTACTAAATATAAATTTGATATTTTATTATTAATTACTAATTTATAAAATAGATTAAAATTAAAAAATCTAGATTTTAATTTTAATAATAAACAATTTAATATTACTTTTAAAAAAATTTAATAATCTAATATTTAATTTATTGAATTATCAAAGTATTATTTTTTTTTCAAATTAATAAAAAACTTTTGAATTAATTATTAAAATTTTTTTTACAAAATTCTAGACTTTCAACTTCTATATATTCTTCTATTAAACTTTTTTATTTCTTAAAAAATCACTATTATCAATTATAATTTATCTATAATTTATTATTTAAAAAAATCCAAAAAATAATTTATAATGAATTTGAACAAATTTTATAACCTTTATTATTAAAATTTTAAAAAAATATATAAAAAAATTGATATTTATTTAATTTTTGTTAAAGAAAAAAAATTAAAATTAAATTAATTCAAATAATAAAAAAACCAATTTTATTATTAATCAATTATAAATTAAAATTTATTTTTAAAAAAATTTTCTTGAATTATCAACATTTATATTATATGTTGTTGTTATATATTTTAAAAAAATTTTTAAAATTAATGATAATTCAATTGAAATAAAAAAAATTTTTTATGAAAGAACACAAATATTACTTTAAGATTTGATATTTTTTATAATAATATAATTCAAACTTAATATTTTTGATTATTTTTTAAAAATTTTAAATCATAATTTATTATTTATAACTAAAAAATTTCTTCTTAATTTATTTATAATAAAATTTGTTTTTGATCTGATTCAAGGCTTTATTTTTGTTCTTTTAAATTAATATATTTTATTTTTAATTATTTATCTTTCATTTATAATGAAATTTTTTTATTTAATTATTTTATTGAATATCGTAGTAAAAATATTATGGATAATTATTTTAATATATTGTGATCAAATTTATATTTGACCAGTGTGTCCAAGTGGAATTGCTTTAAAAGGACAATTCCCAAAGAAAGAATTAAAGAAACTGTTTATAATAATTAAAGAAATATTCAAGAAGAGATTCACCAATAATTATTTAAACAGTGTCACACAGTGTTTCACAAGAAATATGGTTCACTCAGAACCCAAGTTTATTAATAAATCAAGAAAACTAGGACA